GATTATACTGATCGACGAGAATCACGAGAATCAAAAATTAGATATAGAACGATATAGAAAGGTAAATCATACATCGTTTTTGTAGTTAATCTGTTCGATTTCCGCAATTGAAAATATTTTGTTTAAATTGTTCCCTGGCCAACCGAGCAGAGGGTTTAGGCAAAAAACCCTCATTTGCATTTAACACGAATAGATTTTATAAAACAACAAAAGGGAATTATGTATTACAATGTAATAATCACCATGGGCAATTGAAAACCACGGAGATCGTAATGAAATTTCAGGATTAAACAGCTGTTACGTTTCATGCATACTGCAAAGGATTAAAATATAATGCCTGGCCGTTTTTCATTTTAAATTCATTTTAAAACGCAGGTCTATGAATACGCAAATTTTTAAAACTTCGATGATGACATCAAATATATCGAATACAGACTATCGATAATGTAAAAAAATCGGAAAGAAAATATCGATTTTTCTAAACGTCGATGTTTTTCAAAATCAATTCATTGCGGAGAAAAAATCGATTTCTCTAAACATCGATGTTTTTCAAAAACAATTCCTTGAAGAAAAAAAAGTCTTCAGACCATTAATTAAACTAATAACAGTGGATAAAAAACATCCATATAAACAACGAAAATCGAAACCGAAATATCGATGTTTTTTAAACATCGATACATCGTACGTATCCCTACGCAGGTCCCTAATGTTAATTGATTTCTTATTTATTTATGAACATTACGGCAGAAGTAGGTTTATACACTAATTCCAGAAAAATTATAAACATTAATATGCATAAATAGGAAAATAATTCCAAACTCAAATGTGGCCAAGACGTAAAATAAAGAAGAAAAACAAGAACATCTCAAAGCCATGTTTCACAAAATTATACCAGCGACCGTTTCCCTTCAAAAAAAACTGCTAAAAAAGAGATAGAAAATTATTTATATTCCTCTAGCTTTGATTTGGCTTACTAAGAATATCATTTCATGGCCGGTTTCTTCCACATTAGGACTCATCAGCAAGTAATAAACATTGTCGCTTCCATTTATCAATGGAGAGGGTAAATACGCGCATTTTATGCGCACCTTTAGTCGTCCTATTGAAAGATGTGTTCATAGACATCAATTGATACATATATTTTTACTTGGACTATTTGAAATATAAAATTACAGTGGTGGCGGAAAGAATACTCAGAGGAATACTCAGAAGAATTCTCAGAAGAATCCTCAGAAGAATGTTTAGAAGAATACCCAGAACACCAGGAGAATACTTAGAGGAATGGACACTCAGAAGAATATTTAGAAGAATACTTAGAATAATACTTAGAAGAATACACAGAAGAATAATCAGAAGTATAATCAAGAATAATCAGAAGAATACTAAGGACAATATTCGGAATATTTAGAAGAATATGCAGAATAATGCTCAGAGGAATACACTCAGAAGAATGCCCAGAAGTATAATCAGAAGAATACTCAGAAGAATACTTAGAAGAATACTTAGAAGAAAACGCAGAAGAATACTCAGAATAATACGCAGAATATTCAGAATACTGCTAAGAATAATATGCATAATATTCAGAATACTGCTCAGATTAATACGCATAATATTCAGAATACTGCTTAGAAGAATCCTTTGAAGAATACGCAGAAGAATACGCAGAAGAACACTCAGAAGAATTAATAATCAGAAAAGTACACTCAGACGAATACTCAGAAGAATAACCAAAACTATAATCATAAGAATACTCAGAAATATAATCAGAAGTATACTCTGGAGAATACTCAGAACAATAATCAGAAGAGTACGCTCAGAAGAATAATCAGAACAATAATCAGAAGAGTATTTTTCAGAAGAATATACTCAGAAGAATAACCAAAAGTATAATCCAAAAAATAAGTCAGAAAAATACTCAGAAGAATAATCAGAAATAAATTCTGAAGAATACTCAGAAGAAACGTATAAGAATACTCAGAATATGCAGAATAGTGCTCAAAATAATACTCTGAAGAATACGCAGAATAATACTCAGAACAATAATCAGAAGAATACACTCAGAAGAATAACCAAAAGTATAATCAAAAGAATAAGCTCAGAAGAATATTCAGAAGAACACTCAGAAGAATACGCTGAAAATTCAGAATACTGCTCAGAAGAGTACGCAGAATATGCAGAATAGTGCTTAAAAGAATAATCTAAAGAATACGCAGAAGAATACTCAGAACAATAATCAGAAGAGTACACCCAGAAGAATAAACTCAGAATAACCAAAAATATAATCCAAAAGATACTCAGAAGAATAATCAGAAGGATACTCTGAACACTCAGAAGAAACTTAGAAGAATACTCAGAATACGCTGAATATTCGTAATACTGTTTAGAAGAATACGCAGAATATGGAGAATAGTGCTCAAAATAATACTCTGAAGAATACGCAGAAGAATACTTAGAACAATAATCAGAAGAATACACTCAGAAGAATAACCGAAAGTATAATCGAAAGAATACTCAGAAAAATACTCAGAATAATAATCAGAAGGATACTCTGTAGAATACTTAGAAGAATACGCTAAATATTCAGAATACTGCTCAGAAAAATACGCAGAATATTCAGAATACTGCTCAGAAGAGTACGCAGAAATATTTACAATAGTGCTCAAAAAGAATACTAAGAAGAATACTCAGAAAAATACTCTGAAGAATATTCAGAAGAAGAATCAAAAGAATACTCCGAATAATACTCAATACTCAGACGAATTTTACTTATTCAGTTTTATGTCCACGATAGACATACTGACATTAATAACATTTTGTTCATTTAATAATGTTTTTTCCAAAAACCTGTATTGTTTGTTTTGCTTACACTTTACAAAATTTGGAAGAAGGTGTTATTTTCTACCATTTACGATTTATATCTACACCGCGGTTCTAAAACAAAACAAGGCTCAGGATGTGGAATATACTCCAGATTCTTAGTCCTAAACATAAAATGGGCTGTGAGCAATAGTTGTAGTTCAAACAGAGCTAACGAGGATTCTCATAGCAGCAACAGAAATAACCAGAAACAATATCACAGGAAAGAACATGCTCATCTATACAGATAGCAGAAAGCACTACTCACCCTGAACAGACGAATTTATTCGAATGTCACGAAGCTATGGCCGAAGTATTTATCAACAATTTGGTCACCTTAAGATGGATCAAAGGTCACACCACATCGAAAAGTAACCGTCTTGCTGATTCACTAGCCAAGAAAGCAGTCAACCAAATACTTTTTGGACCTGCCCTTATATTGGCCTGACAAAATCGGTAGTGACAGATTTAATTAAAGAACATTCCCTTGTGAAATTCAAGGAAAGATGAGATGAAACAAGAAACTGCAGAGTTGCCAGGGAGTTCTTAAATTATCCTGACAACAAACAAATACTTGACTATTACTAGACAGACTCTGCGCCTAGTCACAGGCATTCTGACTGGTCATTGCCAAGTAAGAAAGCATCTCCATATCACGGGGCTGTCAGAATCCGCACTCTGCAGAGGGTGCGAACACGAAGATGAGACCATCGAGTATATCCTTTACGATTACTCAACGCTCTCATTTATTAGAAGATTGGTGTTCGGCGAGTATCGGCTAACACCGACCGATATAAGAGAAGTACCTCTTGGCGACGTTGTCAACTACATTAAATCTGTAGGCTAGCTCACGAGCTAGGAGGTGCTATCATCTTAGGAGGATGCACATTGGGCCTAATGAGGCCTACATGCCGTGGGGGTAACCCACCCTCCACACGTTACAGATACAGATTTCTACCATTTATCATAAAGGCATCTATCAGTAATCAAAAAAAGTATATTTTGTGGGTTAGAATCCCATTTCAACGTGGCCTCCAGCTCCATTCTATGAGGTTGGTATCATTAGATAGAAGTAAATGATAATAAATCATAACCTAAAATATAACTTATATTTGTTTAAATATTATAAAAATAAGAAGATATAAGTGAAAATGTTAAAATCAAAAATATTTCTTCGAGACGAACAAATTTCATTATCATCTTTCTTGTTGCCTCAACATGAAATCCTCACCTTGTAAAGGCAAAGTTTTATTAAAATCTATAAATCCTTTTATTTTGTATGAATTTCATTAATGTTTAACCTATGTTCGATACCCAAAAATAATCCACGCGGAAATATATTTTTGTTAAAAAATCGATGAAACGAAAGAAAGCTTCATTTGGATTCAATTAAAGTCAATAGTGTCAAATACACTTAAAAAAATTGATTACATTTTCGTTATAATAATAGATATTATTCGAAAACCGTGTTTTCGGATACAGAGACCTCCAAATCAATAACAATATGTGCCATATTAATCAGTACCCCTCCTATTACCTATTACTAGTGAGGTAAAAATAAAAATTACCATTCACTAATAATTATCGTTTGATCCCGTTCTAATTATTTAAGTATGGATCTTGTAAAATACTATTAAATTACTATCCTTATTTCCTTCTCATTCAACACCTTCAGTAAACCAGTCTTACCAAGTTATTCTCTGATTTCTAGTTGTTGTTCTATTCTCAAACTCATACTTACAATATTGCCTACCAAACTGTGTCATTGAGTTTGATCCTAATGTTTCTTTGCGAACTGGTATACACATTGATTAGGAGTATAATTATTTAAGCAAAGTTTCTTTATTTTATGATTGTTAATAATTATTGTATCTAACTGGTTTATGTGTTTGTATAGTTTATAAACTGTTTTTATTTCCATTTATTAAATATATCAAAAATCAAAAAGATTAACTTAAAACTCACCATTTTTAGTTCATCACTGGTCAAAATTTATTTAAGAGGCTGAATTGCAAAATAAAGTACCTCTTTTAACTTTTACCGGAATAATTTATTAGAATCCGACGTAAACAGTAATATAGCCTTCAAAAATGATTGAATTAATGTTAAGCTTGACCAATTTGTAGAGTAAAAATGAGACTTACCAGCATCTGCAGGTGGTGTTGGGGTTTCATCTCTACCAATCATTTCGTCGTCGTCAAAGAGATCCCTAGTTTCCCTTTTTCTCATATTCTTTTCCATTTCCAGTGCTGCCTTTTCTTGATGTTCCATAAACGGATTGAAGACTCCTCCTTCCATTAGCGGATTGTTATTGGGAGATGGAAAACCATCAGCAAAGGATTTAGGAACTTCGTCTTTTAAACCTATAACAAGGAAAGGTCGACTTAAAGCATATTTTGAAAAGAAAATGATTAATTTACAAATATTCAATACAGATATCAGTTCAGTAATATTAAATGGTAAGCAATTTCACTGATACTGGCATAAATTACAAGAAACTGTTTGCGATCCCTTGCATGATTCTTAATAGACAGATAAGCAATGAAATAAAAAAGAATCTAGAAAATTTACAGAATATTTTTATTGAGGAGTGTCTATCCTACGGCTATTAGGAATTAAGTATACATTCTTGATTAGTAAGTTCGTGACATGTAAAATTGGATTAATGAAAATGTCATCAATTGAAGACCATAACTTCAAAAGGGTTTAAGTGCCAAAACCATGGAAAAAAGTTATGAGTAAAATAAAAATTGTATTTATCATATACATACGCCATACAATAAATGGATTTCTTTGAAAATGCACTTGCAACCATTTGGATATCATTAGTGTTGGTAAACTAAACCTTTTTACGCCAAAATGAATATTTTTAAAATTTTGGCACTTAGACCATTTAGAAGTTATAATCTTTAATTATCATATAATGTTACCTAAAAGGTATTATGTGAGTCTAAGCTTTAGCATGGACAGTTTCAAGCCTAGATGAGGAAGAGAGGAAATTTATACTTACACCTAGCAGCCACTAATAGTGACAACGTAATTAGAGGCAAGTAAATTCGATGTTAAAATAAAACTTATTGTAAATATGAAGGGTTGACATTAGAGTCCTTGTCCTTATACTTATTTCGAACCTCATTTTAATAACAAATTACATTTCATATTTGGTGTTGGCTATAATAGTACAATATGGAAAAGGCATTATAAATGGCCATTTTAGAAGATTTAGATGATGATGCTATTAAGTATTTAATATTAAAAAGTCGCCACTATTTGCTGTTCTTAAACATCCACAATTAAGGATAGGCACTATCTTTAATAAAGTTAGTTCTAGAACTTAAACGATCTGCGCATACTCAGATGTCAAAATAAGAGCGACGCTAATAATAGTGGCTAACCTTAAGTGAACTTGCAAAATCTTTTTAATACTGACACGAAAAAAAAATATATTAAACCACACTTTTTATCTGTGCCATCTGATATTTGAAACAAAGACAACGAAAATACCATTAGATACGATAATAATGACAACGTGGGAGCTACAAAATGTTTCTCCCATGAACGATAAAGAAGAAAATATGAGTCATGTCTGAGATAATACACACGCTTCGATTGTAAGCTCCGATATGACAGATTTATGGCCAAATGTGGCTCATAACAGACTACGTTTTTAAAAAAAATATACGTTTATCTATTATAACGTTTTTGGATAAAATCACAGGTGGAGGAGATGATGGATGGCCAAAGGATGGTTCAAAGTCTTCAATAAAGTTAATCGAATGTCTGGAAAAGCTATTAAAACAGTTTTCTTTTTAAAGAAAATTATGTGCTCGTTGAATTCACCACCAAGTGTAACAAAAAAGATTTTTAAAGAAAATTTTATTACTTTTACAAGATTATTAGAAGGATTTTCAGGCATCATCTGTATTTTCAGGCATCATCTGTATTTTCAGGAATATGAAGGTTTTTAAAATTGAGAATTAAAGAAAGGCATTAGAAAGTAATAGAAATCTAAAAAATAAACCATAACTAAGTATTAGTTTGCAAACAATGATCAGGCTTAATTTATTAAGCTATTTCAAATTTTTTGAAAACTAGTTTCAATCACTGGAAGGCTTATTTTCAAGTGGTTTATGACAGCCGCAGGATCGAACTTACTAATATAGTTTTTTGTAATTTGATGAGAGAAAAAACGACAATGAACTCTAGCAACGCATAGGAATTTTTAATCCCATTTATGAAATGTGTTTAGTTTTCTGAGAGAACCATCATTATCCATTTAGTAGACAATAGATACGTAGGTGGATCAAATATAAAAAAGCCTTCGTTTATAAACTATTTATTTTAAAACATGACTCAAAACAGATTTTTTTTTTCTACTTTTCTACATATTTTCCTTCTCTGTTAATACACTTTTCGTAACGAATTGGCAGTTTCTTAATCCCGTTTTCATAAAAAGAAGCGGGGCAGGTAGCTAACCAGTTGCGCACAAATGCCTCCACCTCTTCATTGGTCTGAAATCGCTCGCCTCCCAGTGAATCTTTGAGTGGACCAAACATATGAAAATCACAAGGTAACAAATCTGGACTGTATGGAGGGTGTTCCAGCACAGTTCAGTGTATTTCATTGATTTTGGCATGTGTTAAAGCTGCCGTATGAGGTAAAGCGTTGTTATGCAGGAGCAATACGTTTGGGATGGGGTGTGCTCTCCTCTTTTGGCGATAAGCAAACTTTACCTAGTCGAGTAAGTTACAGTAGTAAGCTGCGTTTATTGTTCTTCGCTCATGCAAAAATCTACCAACAAAACTCCTCTCCAGTCCCAGAAAACGGTCGCTAAAACTTTTCCTGCAGACAGACGAGTTTTGCCTTCACTGGGTTTGGTTTGTCATTGTGTCGCCACTCCATGCTTGCTCGTTTTGCACCAAGATTTTACACGTGCCCACGAAAGTGTTTCATTCCCGAACTTTGCTCGCAATCTGCATAGAATTTCAACAGGTTTCACGTTTTCGCGCGTAAAAAATTTAATGATTATTCTCTGCGCAACACTGCTGTGTACCTTCATCTCGCTCATTGCGATTTCTACTGGCCAAATGAGAATCGCGCCACTACCAGCCGCTTACATGCTGCTGAACATTCCTACTCCAATATTATAACAGCCGCGTTCACCTTGAATGACTTTTCCGTTTATAGTCTTAAAAGGCTTGTTTATATTTGATCCAATTGATCAAAAACTATTATTATTCGCGCTCAAAGGCAGCCTATAGAATAACTATACACGGTTACAACGTTGCCAAATAAGTTACCCGAGAAGCGAATATTTTTAAAATATTTGTTTTGGAGTGAGGGTAGCCATATGTGAGTAGTAGGGATTAAGTGTTTTTATTACAACTGACTCCTTGATATTCCATTTAGGTGTGCCTGATGATGAAGTGACAACTTCGAAACCGGTCGCCAATAAATTGACTTTGTGAGAAATAAAGGACTTTTTCTTTAACCTTTACACTTAAAATATTTGTGTTATCGTCTCGCAATCTTAGTCTAGTAAATTGCACCAATATCGGCTTAGAAATAAGTAGTAGGGCTCAGAGGCGGATTTCCCTTAAGGAACGTTGGGCACGTGCTTAGGGGTGTGCAATCGCAACATTTGTAGCGACAACACTATACATTTTAAATTTCGAGCATCCATAAAGCAGAGTATGTGGTAAGGAATGATCCACAAGTAGGCATGGGAAAAATTCACGTATGTCAAACGTACTGGATTTAATTTGGAGCCGCGCGTAGTTATCACGGACAGGACTCGTACCTCTATCTTTGTCGGTCTTGGCTTATTTTGAAACATTTTTTGTGGATCACTCTTTATTAAGTAGCGCGAGGAAAATGATCAATTTGAAAATCCTCCAATTCGAAATGAAGCTGAGAAATATTGAAATTTGAATTTCGTTAGAAATTACATTTCTAGACAAATTTTGGCGGTATATTTTAGAACCCTTCAAAAAAGTAACTGTAATTGATTTATGTACTATTTTAAATTAATTTGTTAAATCCATGTGAGATAAACTTAATCATTACCAAGAGAAAGTATAAAAACAGAAATCAGATTTTGATTAAGTAATATCGTCTACAAAAGGCAGAAGAGACGTACATTGCATGATGATGAAACTGGACTTAAGTTGAGTTTACAGATAGAGAAAAATTTTAAAAATACATGTTTTTTATTAAATGCAGAATTAGAAGAAAGAAAAGAGGCATATCAGACACTCTCGAAGATTTTTCTATTTTTTCAGCAAATTTTCAAAGTTTGCATTTGAATTTATAAAAAATATTCAAGTAAAAAAAATATAGATTATGATTTTTTATTGTAGGTAACTAATTATTTATTTAAAATGCAGATCAATAAATACAAAATGTAAAAATATATTGATTGAAAATTTTAATCGACCCTACCCTTTTTATTTAGTTGCTACGTCACTTCATGAATTATCCTTAATTGTTAAAATAAATAACTGAAACCTAATTATTTTTTTATTTCACTCTTCTTACAATAGGATGGGATTAATATGAAAATAAAAATCGACATTGAGCCAAAAAGTTTAAATTCTCGTCACGAGACATACCTAGACTAGAAAAGTCTTTAAAATACGACCCTTAGTTATTCAAATATTTAGTTCAAAGTTATTACCTGGAGAAAGGAGATCATCTACTGTATCTACATCTGTTTCTGGACCAAACTCGTCATCATCATCGAATTCGGAAGCCCGTCGTTTGCCATTAGATTTTTCAAAAAATTCTTCTGGTGGTGAAACATCTGTACCTGAAAAAACGATTCAATTACAGCATCTTAAATATTTCTTAAATATATAAGCACTAACTTGAGTGACCGTAATATTGTAACGATTGGAACCGTTATTTCGTTATTTCGACACAATCACCAAATGTCATTTGTCGTCTATACCTTGTGAGATTTATTTTTGATTTGGCTGACAGCGACAATCAACTTGATTTTATTTTAATCTAGATCATCCGATGATACTTATTTATGTTAATGGCCGTCTGATTTTATAAGCTGATGGCTATATATAGAGGTTTTGATCTCATCCCTAGACGGTTTTGGTTTCATCTCTAGACAGTTTCGAAGTCAAGTTCGAATACTGAAGATCGTTTTGGTTTCATCTCTAGACAGTTTCGAAGTCAAGTTCGAATACTGAAGATCGTTTTGGTTTCATCTCTAGACAGTTTTGGGTTCAAAGACAGAAGAACCATTTATCTTGAAGATCGAAGATCATTCACGGTTCATCTCTAGACTATAGACTATCAAATGAGAAATGTTCTACAGATTGGAGTGAAGAAATACCCGATTTTACCTATTAACTTACCTTTTGTACCGACAGATAAGTGCATTCATTTACTCAGTAAATTGTTTTAAATTTGAATTTTGTGCTGACTTATCTGAATTAGAATTTGATAACTACCTTATCTAAAGCATGGTTTAAGTATAATTTGTTAGTGGTTAGTGATTTTCTATATTTTTATCACTAATCTAGAGTTAAGTGTATAAGCTTTAAATATAGTGGTGCCCAACTTCTTTTTCAAAGTTATTCGAGTTATTTAATAACCTAACCCACGCCCTATCAATTGAGCTCAAACACATTGTCAAAATAGATAAAATAACCAGGTATTTACGTTACAATATATAAGTATAAATATACAGTATATGTCCCAATCTTCAAAACACCCCTATGATCGGCCCACGAATACCGCCAGTCATAGTGAATCATTTTTCTGGAATGTAGTGGACCCTTAGATAAATGATAACGAAATTACAAATTCTAGTGGGTGCACCAGTCTAGAAAATGGTAGTGGTGTCTATTATTAGTCAAAAGACGTCTAGAATCTTCAAAAATATATCTGGAGCGCTTAATTTTTAAATAAATAATACATGTTTGCCGTAATAATTCAGTTTTAGTTAAGATATCGTGTTGTTAAGATAAATATAGTCAATAAAAATTATTGTCTATTAAATATAAATAGAATTAACAAATAAATTATAATCTTAGTAAAAATAAATTTAAAAAATTGTTTAAACCTATAAACGTTACAGTAATTATTTTATAAGTTTGTAGTGTTGTTGAAAAAAAAAGTTTATTGGAATCCACATTTTTGTGTTATCGAAAAAGAACTAATATCACATACCGGTTCCGAAGACAGTCGGGTAATTTAAAAAGCGTTTAAAGTTTTTTAAATTATTTACGTAAGTTAGGCGGCCCAGTGTACAGTCTCCGAGGGGAAAGTGAATCATCGCGGTAACTTTCTCGCCTGAGAAAATCGCCACTTATCTTCAAAATGGATTTGCTAAAATTTGAGCATACAGAAATAAAGATCTTTTTTTGGTCATCAAATGATACAGCCATAAAAAAGGAAGATGACATAATAAACATTCACAGAATAATAAAATAGTGGAAATATTGACAAAAGCGAATCAGTACATCACGTACGACAATTATGAATGAATAAAAATTGTAGTATTGTAAAACTACGCAGATGATGGAAATATAAAAGCTTCATATTATTGGAATGAAGAAATATAAATTAAAAATTTATTCCCTAGAATCAGCAGACAGCTAACCAGATCTCCCAGAAATAGAAAACTAGAACTCCGATTAATAAAATTCATTCCTTCGAGGTTGATTCAGGTTTCTGATACCTTCCATCTAAGGGCATCAATGATAATTGTTGACGTAGTACTACTAGCCTTACAGCTGGCAAGAATGTTCATTAAAATTTAATGACAGAACTTGAATTGAACTGATCTATAATACAGGAAATACCTCAGTAAGGTTATCTCTGCAATGCTCATGGTATGCATGTCGTATATGTGTTATTCACAATAGCCGAAATCGCCCATTGCCCAAATTTTTTGTCCACAACGCCTTATGGGTATAGTAGTTTACCCACGATGCGACTAAAAACGTTTTATCCGAATACTTAGTGAGTAAATAAATTATCCAGAACGCATTGTGGGTTAAGTATACTAGCCACCACATGAATGGTTAACACGCTTTTGTTTTGCATTCTGGTGCATTTTGATTACCTACGTTGCGTTCTGGCTATTCTGTGTTACTCAGAACACGTTTCAAATAAAACGACGAATATAAATAAAACAAAATTTAAATGCATATAACATAAATATATTAAAAAAACACAAAAAAAATTAAAAACAACACAAAGAAAACTAGAAATAGTGTAATACGATTAAAAAATAAACAATACAAAAATAGCTTTATTGATATTTTGAATTTTATAATTAATTTCATGCACCTACATGCCTTTCTTTGACATGCTTTTAGATATTTACACCGGACAAATCCTTGCTTAGACCCAAAAGACAAACAACTTGGCTTCTTCACGCACGTTTACAGGAGAACCTCAAGCTATCTCAGATAATGGTAAAAATGAAGGAGACAAAACTCATTTCGGTTATATAACCGTTTCAATTTTATATTTTTAGTGCCGATAATGTATAAATCTTGATTGATCAGACTTTTTTATACTGGTTGCTAATACATTTCGAGGAGCTAGACGTCCATGTTTATCAAAACACCTATAAATAATAGGTGGGAATTTGAATTACGATTGGGTAGGCATTTTATCAGCTTGTATTTCAAGTCTCGGTGTGCAACCTCTTCTCTCTGTATCAGCTGCTTTTTTATTGCTATAAAATTTGCATTATGGTTAATCCAAATCGGCATGAAATGGTTCATTGCATTCAAGACACACATTACAAACAAAACATTTAGTTATATTGGCATTTTCGTTCTTCAACTTTTTGCCGTTTCTATCATTTTCTGTTTCAGTATCTTTTTAGATAGGTTTCGATCTCTAATTCCGATTCGCCAATTTAAGACTGGATCATCAATTTTAGATGCTCTTCGGTTTACGACAGATGAGTCTAAGCATGTATCCATGTATCATGTTTGTACATGGCCGCATAAGGTTACTAAATAATATTTTACTACTACGAATGTTAGATAGTCTATTAACAGCTTGTCTTTAACGCGTTCTGAGTAAAACGCAATAGTCAGAACACGACGTGGGCAAATGAAGAGCTCCACAATGCAAAAAAAACGCAAACCATTATTTTTTAGTATCGAGGGTAGGTAGCATCGTTTACCCACAACGCGTTCTGGTTAATTAGCTTTACTCACTGTTCGGAAAAAACTTTTCTAAACGCACTGTGGGTAAACTACTATACCCATAACGGGGAACTCATGTGCCGACTATGTCACAAGAAACCAGAAACGGCCAAACACATACTGTGCGAATGCGAAGCTCTAGATCGCAAAAGACAGGCTCTTTTTGGATAACCCCAGGTTGATCCAACAACGTATAGAACCCACTCACCCAAGGATCTGTACAAACTTGTACAAGGTACAAAGGTGATAGAGTGGGTGCTATGAACTAACATGGGGTAAAACACAATAAGCCAATAGGCTTCAGTGTTATTCGGAGACACATAGTCAGACGACCCCAGGAAAAAAAAACTATGCCCATAACACGTGTTGGACAAAAAATTCGGACAGTGGGCGATTTCGGCTATTGCGAATAACATAATTATAAGTCAACGTGGCAACAGCGCTTTACCTATATCGATAGAAGAACATAGACGACATGCGGTGTGCTTCAGGTGGTGGTAGTATTAATGTCAGAATTGTAACAAAACGTTCAAAAGCAGTTAATAATAAAAATACTTATTCATTAAAACTTACGTCATACTTCTGTATCATATTCTTAATTTTAGGAAAATCTTTTCAAAAATGTACACTATAGAAAATCGACATCACTATCATAATAAATGCCTAACCCTGGAAAACAAACTTCTCTGAAACAAACATTAGAAGTAAATAAGTAGTAAATAAGGCTGCAAAAGCCATAATGGTATGCAGAAACTTTGCAGGTAAAAGAAGGGTTTGTAACCCGAACGAACACACTACGATGGATGATATGTAGCAGTAGTGAGACCAATCATCGCTTAAGCGGCTGTAGCCTGGAGTAACAGAACTAGTTTAGTTATTACGAGAGCTAATATCTCAAAAGTACAAAGACTAGCATGTGTGTGTTTTACCGGTGAAATGAGAACCTGTCCTACGACCGCAATGAAGTTTCTGGACCGAAAATATTTGGGACCAAATGAGAAAGAAGTGCAGTTTTTTGAAAAACTTCAAATCAAACAACTGGGCTGTAAGAAAAAATGAAGCCAAGAGTCCAAGGTGCTTGCAACCGAAAACATAGAAGTAAATACACTAGTAGTGTATGGGCCTAGGATCAGGCACTCTGAAACTTAGGGCATACATACCCAAGCATCTTCCAAGCGAAAATTTTTGCCATTGAAAATTGTATCCAGTTCAACATCGAGAGAAACTATCGCAGACAAGAGATTATCATTATGTCCGATATCCAAGCAGCCATCAAAGCACTGAGCTCCGTTTACTCTCACTTTGGTTCCCGGGGCATAATGGGGTAAAAGGTAACGAGATTGCCGATAGTCTCACAAGGAAAGAAGCTCAAACACATTTTGTGGGACCTGGGGTATCAGCAGTAACACAATATTTAGGAGATTATAAAATTGGGCAATAAAAGAATCGATAATTGGAACAATCTCTTGGGGCTAAGACATACTAAAATACTCCTGGGTAAATATAACCCGAAAAGACCGGAAGCATGTATCTGCCTGAGCAAGAACAGGCTACGCATTGTAACAGGGATACTTACCGCCGACTCAAAGGACACCATATCAAACTAAAAATAGTAGAAGATAGTGAGGAGGAGTATGAAATCTCCATTCACATTCTGACTGAATGTGTATCAATCCAGAATATAAGGACACTATACTTAGGAGCATACCAAATAGAAAAGGGCGATCTACCTAAAGCCACTCCAAATCCTACACTTCCTTGAGAATATAGAAATGGAAGGGTCGTTATAGACATCGAGACCATTTCCTCGGTTCATAAGCAACAGAAGGGGACACAATAGATTGCAGTGCATTAATACCCCATATCTAATATAACATAATAATAAAAAGGACCAAGAAAAATGGATAATAAAAGTCATCAACTGCAAAAGTTCAAATAGGTTTGAGTAAGATAAATTTAGCTACATGATTTTATTTAATACTATAGTGTCAACCAATCTTTTTTCCAACACACGCCAATCAAAACAAACTGTGTCTGAAAACCCTGAGTGTAACAGTGTTATCGCTCAATACCGCGAAAAGTCAATGTAAATTAGACAAAAATCGTTTTAATTGTTCAAATATTATTTTTCTTTTTTGAGAACATTTGTTTCCTTACATATAATGCAAATTTCAATTAAAACGCATAATTTCCAAGGAAACAAATAAAATTCTCACCTCTTGTGGTATTATCGTTGAAATAGTATATTACATTACGAGTGTGGAAAATCACTTTTCACACAAGTGATGTACAATATTTTTCCTACGACCACAAAATAATTTCATCAAAAAATGTAAAACCAGATTATTATAATAATTAAAATGTATTTAAAAAAATAATCAACAATAATCGTATTTATTAAATTTTCATAATTTCTAAACAAATAAAAAAAATAAAAAAAAAAATAAAAAAAAAAATCTGGCACAGCCAGGATTCGATCGCGGTCGTTGGACGGTCTCAAATTGCAAAGTTGATGCTCTAACCAACTGAGCTAACAGGCCTTACGGTAACTGATTGATCTAATCGCTTATGTGTTTAACCAGAATAAAAAGAAAATATATCTTAGTTATTTTAAAATTATTTTAAAAATAATTGTTAAAGATAAATATCTAGGATCTAATTTACAATAATTTAACAATCATATCGATTTTAGTATTAATATGGACATTACATAGATCAAAATAGAAATTATGTGTTTGACATTTTCTGACAGCTACTGCGGAAAGTAGCATATTCTCACTTGGGTGGAAAGTAAATTCTTATTCATACGAGTGTGATATAGGGCACTTTCCATAGGTCTATATAGTGTGATATGTGTCACTTTCCTAAGTGGTCGTAGGAAAATTATCTTTTCCTCTGTATTGACTAATTATTATGGTTTAAATAATGGTACTTGGTACATACACTCTTATAAGCAGGATATTAATTAAATGTACTGTTTTGATCTGACTGAATCACAAAAAAAAAAAAAATTATTTCTATGTTAGGCTCAAAACTTTTCAGATATAGAATAGAATTTTAGTAACTTACCATTCTGTTTAAATTTATCGGTATTCAGTAATAGGTTTTCCGATCTTGGTTGTATAATATTGTCAGTGGTGGAACCGTTGGTAACTCCGAAAGGATTATTGGCATTATTGAATCCCTCCTCCATGGTCACAGAATTTAGATTGCGGTTCGCCCAATGGGCCTCCGCTGCGATCTTTGATGGTTCTCGAAGGAATACGACTATCACAGAGATGTTATCAGTAGAGCCTTGTTCTTTGGCTAGGTGGACTAAGCGCTGGCTGATTCGTTCGGTATCGTCTGAAACAAACATTGTATTATTAATATATGAATATATAAATATATACGCTTTATATAAATTTATATTCATAAGTCGCTATCATTTGATAATTATTAAACGGAAGTCTAATAATAATAAACTATGGAAAAGTTATAAAAGTAATCTCGCGGGATGCATGTGGCTTTTTCCTCCGGGTGGAATTCTCTGTATAGGAGATTCTCAGTAGGGACTCCAGATTGCGAAAACACCGACCGGAAGGTATGGGTCTCGATCGCGAAATGTTAAATCTCGGTTTGAACGTTGATACCACAAATATTCGAGTTGGCGAGTGGATTACATTTTGTTAATTTTATAGTGGGTTGAGCCCATTTTTGTGTGTCTTATTGTGACCTATTTTTAAAATTGTTTAATAAATATTTGTTTTAAAAAAATTATGTTTCCTATAGTCTCTTACAGAGGTAGAATAGGACCTGATATCAATGGTTGAGAATTCAAGTTTGAATATAGTGCTTACACTATTTCGATGGCTTAGCGCACACAGGTTTAAAGTGCAATTTTGGGACAAATTCTTTTAAATGCATCTACCTACTTATATTTGTACAAATAATTAATCTTTATTTCGCTTTATTAGGTAATCAGAATCAACGAAGAAGCGTTGAAATGGTTTGCTAGATACATTTCAAGTGAAATAACTTGAACTTAAACTTAAATTATGAAATATTAGCAAAATGTTACTTAACACATGTGTGCACTAAACCATCGGTTTATATATTTTGTTGTTTAACCACCTAGTACAGGCCTGCACAACATACGGCCCATGGGCCGCTAGCGGCCCGCCATTGTCGTTTTCTTGGCCCTTTACTGAATAAAACTTTGATATAAGTATTTAAAATAAAACTTAATAAATAATGTTTATTTTATTTTAAAAACAACTTTTGAAAACTACGGTTTTTTTGAACTGGCCCTTTGAAAATCTCAGGCCTGCCCTAGGAGATAGCTACACGTCATATCGCGCTAATAATATATCTACTTACACAGAATTGTCTTGAATGTAATGAATTTAATGGCTCGGATTTTTTCTGGATCGATTAGAAAATAACAATAATATAGAAATAAACATGGTAACTAATCGACATAATCACCACCAACTTGAAAATATTTGTGATTAATTTTAATAGGTATTAGTGATTTAATAAGATTGTAAATATGTTTAGTGTTGTGATGTAAGTTTAGTATGAAGCAAAGATATCGGATAATAGATACGCCTTGTTTACATTGTATTTGTCCGCAACATCTTTCTGACAGTACGCTCTTCCTATTTTGTCAGATCTCTTCCATCAAATATTAAAAAAAAAGGAAAATAAAGAATTGAAACATAAATATGAGTTTTTTATTCATTACAATCACTTAAGATTTGTATTTATTGTCTTTTACACGTGTATCGTATGATTCATATGTGGATATTGAATATTCTGATTCATAACTTTTAGGTTTGGCAACCTAAGACATTTTGTTGACGGCGTCAAGTGACAGCTTAATTTTAATTCTCTTTTTTTGTAGTTTTTTGAGATTTTCGAGAATAATTTAAACATTGAACTGTTTAATAAGAACATTTAGGATGGTGAGGAAATGTGTAGTGACCAAAATATTTGTAATAAGAATGTTACACCGTCATTTCATAGGTGAGGTTTTGTTAACGTAGAAGGAGGAATATGTAAGGAATAAGGTTTGATTTTCGCTGATACCGGTTCTAAAAGAGTTGTCATTTCGTTATGCAGACAACTATGAAAGTAGGAGTAACGTGCAATTCAAAGGGTTTTGGTAAGATTCTTTTTATATATTTAAGTCTGAAATAAAGTTGTTTCATTGTTTTTTATTTCATAAAGAAAGGTAGTCCTGACAATACCGATGTAAAAACTAGAATGAACATAATGCTTGGCATTCTATATTATACTGTTCACAGTTTAAGAAACCCCCTTAACCCCCCTTTTTAATCAGATTTTTTCAGAATCAATAGGTTTCGTCCGCTTATGCAGCCTAATTTTTTCTAAATATTTCAATTTTATATCGTTTTTTGTTTCCGAGTTATTTTTTTAATAGTACGTTTGCATTCTTAATGTCAGTTATTATTAGTTTAATGTATTTTTCTCGTTGCAACTATCATAGTTGAATGTGATTTCCAGGAAAATTCGCAAATAATTTTGAAGAATGGCAGAAATATAAAGCAAGCGTCGTAGACGTAAGTACTGAATTATTCACAAAACAAATGCTCGCTCCTCAGATAAACAAACTAGCACAAATTATCCCCGCTTAATTTAGCAGCTGTTTCGTTTTTTATAATACGGCAGCCGTTCCGATGATTGAAATAAATAAGGGCGTAATTTTGGATGGATGAATGAATTAGTTTAGTTATTTTTCGTCATTATGTTAAATAACTAACAGAACTTTCTTCAATTTGAGCTGCTATTTTAATTTATAAAAAAATATACAGGACGGTTTTTTGAAATATATTGAAAATGGTTTCTTTAAATTTACCTTTAATTCAGAAGACCTAATAAACATATGTATTATGTATGTTAGTAAGTTTTGATCAATAAATAATTTTTATAAAATCTAAATAAACCCTCCCAAAACACTACGGTTATGTACGACGTACGATAACCCTTTTTGCGCCTGGTATATCGTGTGGACAGAAGGTGTATCTCAGATATGTCTAGGGTATGAAGTTGCTTACAAGATTAAGGGCCAGTCTATTCACCTCGTAGTAAAGTTGAAGGTAACTACTTGCTGATTAAACTATAGGGCCATTGTTTGTTAATCTGACAAGTAAACCTACATGTAACTTTACGCAGAGGTGAAAAGATTGACCCTAAATGAAGTTAAATGTTGCCGGCATTTCATTTTATAACAACGTAAGAAAACCAGCACTCTCTCTCTCTCTTAGCAGTTCACTACAGTCGAGAGAATGTATTAAAAATGTAAGGGGAAAGTAACTTTTCCCTAATAATCGTTATATTAAAAAAAATACTCCATTTAGCCAAACCGCATTTATAGTACCAATTGAAATAATATTGGCCCTTCAAGTTATTTAATAGTAGCAAGGGTATAAGATGTCAAAACTAGTCATTTATGTTCAAAAACTGGAACTCAAAAATAACATCTTCGAATTTTCGTTTAATTTACAAAACAACAAAATGCTGTGAGAATGGCTCACACAGTTTTGAAAGTTAGATTCTAACGAAGAACTTTCTAAAAATTAATATAATCATTATAAAAATGTATCCACAAAACTGCATTTAGTTTTATTTCCAATTCAGATATTCCGTGTATTTTTAACAACTACTTAACAAAAACATACTGTGAATACAATTATTTCATATTTACCTGGTTTTTTTCTTTGAAATCTGATATCAGTTACAGTAATGGTTATAATGACAAAACACTGACACAACCAAGTATTTAGCGGACAAAAATCGTATTTTTTGTCATGATTCTATGAATACACTTAAAATTTTGAGATGATGAATGCACAACAAAATTTTCACAGCATAATGTCTTGACTTCTGATTTTAATTTTTTTGACAATTCATGATTAAGAGTTGAAATATTATATGCTAGCTACGTTAACTACTATGTCAATGTCCCACTACTCGGCCAACTTATTATTATCGATTTTGATGAATTTTTTTTAACGTCGCATCGGCCTATTTCTTACTACGAGGTTACATATTTTTACTCAAGAACTTGACTAAAGTACCGTAAATGAACACGTTAAACTAGGGCCATTCTTTTCACCTCTGAGTAAAGTTGAAAGTAACCACTATATGCTATAAATGGCTAGTCTGCAAAGTAACCTTATAACTTTACTCAAAGGTGAAAAGATCGGCCTAATATATCTGTATATGTAAGATAGGGAGGGTGGGTTGCTTCCATGGAGGTAGTAGGGAGAGGAGTCACTACTCGTGTAAAGAAGCGATATCACCCTTAGACTAGGTGTATCACCTGCGCCATATTGTTACCATCCTAATGTCATTTGTGACATTTACTTACAAAATTTTGTGGTATGTGTTTTATTTTTCAGTATTTCTTGCGTTCGTTTCATTTTTATATAGGTAGTGTTAGTTGAAATAGAAATTGTAAAGAACGTGACGAAGAACACCAAGCGGACACGAAGCGAGAGTTCGGGTCGGATCAAGAGGAAAATCGAAAAAACCCTTTTTCACCGTTATTGAACAATAATGATTGGCTGTTTTTAAAGTGGTCCATTTGCACAAACCAAAAGGACGCTTTTTATTATATATATTAAAGGGGGACCTTTTTTGATTAAATACGATTCCTTTCAACGCAATTTCGATTTTTTTTTAAATTTATTTGGGATATTATTATTATTATATATTACTTTTGACTTTTAAAATTCTCAGATACCAATTTTGGTCGAAATCTGCAGACTTTTAAAAATAAATTAATTTTTTAATACTGAACACCCTGTATATAACTGACCGAAAGTATAACTGGTTTTGAACCAGAAAGAAACATTATCTGTATACAAAATTTGAAGTTTTTCTCCAAAGCCGTTTTGGGAAACATGTTTTTCGTAATCTAGAGGACCCTGAAACGTGAAAATTTGAAATAATCTCGGAGAGTGTCTTTTTCATGATTACAATACTCCCCTCTTAATGAGAAAGTAAAAATTATAGGGAATAATAATGGAGGTATAGTGATAACTATCATCAAAGTTAGATGGCAGAGTCATACTGAATATAAAATATGATTATCTAAACATTATAAGTTAAATATTTTCAAAGAATTCGGAAAAAACTGACTATGGATACCGTTTCTATATAGAAATTATTGGTAACCGACCAAATATAATGTCCAATGTTCAAGTCATTTCGAAGAAAAACATTTTGATCTATCTTCCTAGTCTGTTTGAAAAATGATGTTATCACAATAATTTACGTGTCTAGACGATACACAAATACCGGTATGTTCCTGCGCATGCTAGCTCTATCCTTGTCAC